ACCATAGCTGGTCCTCTCAAAGTCCACGGGGTCGGCCGACAAAGCGGGAGTTGGTGACTGGTGGAGTATCGTGCTGAGGACGGTACTCGGGCAAGGGCTCGTCGAACAGCAGCTCACGGACAAGACTCAAGCGGTAGTCAAGGAAGGAGAGGCGGTGATCAACGGCGGTTGAGCAGGTAGAAGAAGAGCTTCTTGTACCACTTGAGGGACTTACGAGTTGCTCGATGATTTGCCGCTAGTTAGTCGCTCTTGTCAACGCCCCCCATCAGGGCGTTGTATTCGATGACACAGGTCAGTTTCTGCTTTTCCTGCCCTGTCCTGTCTTGCTTGCCGGTGCCACGGATGTCTGCCGTATGCATGGTGGAGAGCATACGGATGTTGCACTTGTCTCACCACACCATGGCCAGGAGAGAACCGCTGATGCCCAGGTCGGCCGACCGGAATGCTGTTTTGCCCCGCTTCAGCTTGACGGACTGCAGGTCTTTCAGCATCCCGTTTCTGTTCGCCATGACGGTGCTGACGACGTTGAACTTCTGGTTGTGAAGTCGTCGAAACAAAGCTGGACTGCTGAAGGCCCGGTCGAGGGCAAGGTTGTAGCCCTTACCACTTAGGTCGTTCACCAAGTCCATCGCCACTTGTGTAGTTGCTGGGAGGTCTCCTTTACTTTGGCCGGTGTAGATTTTGAAGTTGTAGCAGTACCCGGCGGCACTCCCGGTGCTCTGGCACAACTTGTACATCTTGATGCCGAAGCGGGCCCTCTTTCTGGGGTTGTAGGTAGCGAAGCGGAGACGCCCGTAAAACTTCAGCAAGGAGTCGTCGACCGAAATGTCCCGTTGAGGAACGTAGACAGTGGCAAACTTCTGAGTAAGATGGTCGACGACTGGGCGCACTTTGAAGAGGCGGTCGGTGTAGTCATCTGGCATGGCGGTGTTATCGTTGAAGTGCAGGGACTGCAGGATGGCAAGGAAGCGATCTCGGGGCATGACGGATGGGAATAGGCTCATCTTCAGTAGTGGGTTGGTGGACCAGAAGCTATGAAGGGTTGGGTGCTTCGCAATTCCCGTCATTATGCAAAGGCCCAGAAAGGCCTTCAGTTCTGTAGTGTTCAGATCAGTCCATGATCGCATGTGCGCTGATGTCGTAGCGGGCCTCTGCATGGCATACCGGTTGGTCTCTTGCACTATCTTGTTGTAGGGAACGTCGTCAAAAAACAGTTCAATGGCTTCACTGCAGGTCGAGCTGCGATGCAGGCAGGGATCGACGGCACCACCATTACTGGTTAAGCCGTACTTCAGCGGTGTACTGTCTTCATCTGTCCACCGGAACAGTGCGGCACTGCTGCTGGTCGACGCGGCGGTCTGTGTACGGGACTGTCTCTTGCGCTTGGCATATACAGCCAAAGGTACATCACTGTCAATTTCTGTACTTGACTGTACTTGAGCAGGTGACGGCGGTGATGAAGAAGACGAAGAACCTTCGTCTGAACTCAGATAAAACTCGCTTTCACTGGAAGAACTGAACTCTCCGGATATAACTTCAGCCATGTTGTCTGTGCTCTGAATAACACGATACCCAATATGAACATATGTAGCCACTGCACGGCGTTTTTATTCTCAAGCAGCGAAGGCCGTGCCCTGTCAGTCAACGTAGCAAGGGCCAGCAGCGCCGGGTCGGGTCATTCATGGGGCCCAGGTGCATAATGAGCCCGCACAGCCCGCGCTTTGTCTTCAGTGCAGTGCAGCGATAATCCGCTGCGAGCGCCCGGCAGCGCAAACAAATGCGCTCTGCACAAACAATTTACAGATTACCTCTGCTAATTTCAGCGCTCTGCGCTGAACGAATACAGGGATTGATTGGCAGTGCCCGGCAGCTCTCAGCAGCTCATACTTTTATATCAGGCTTTTATAAGTTCGGTCACCCCGGCTATAAAATAAAGTCACAATTCACCAGCCCCAGCAACCCATTATTGCCTTGGACCAATTTATTTACCGCCAATGATGGCTTAAACTTTTTAACTGACAGCCCCAAACTTTTAAAGAAACGCCCAGCAACTTTTTTTTTATAGTAAAGTTCCGATTTCGGAGTCCCCAGCCACGAATATAAGGCCTATGGCCCCTGGCTGGAAGTGGTTAATGTATTCAATCTACATGATACATCTTTAGTAATGACAGGTTACAGGTTCTGCTTTCAATACATGTGGATCAGTACTTCAGTAGTGACACCTGCATGACTTGGCTGATGCATGGTTGCTCTCAAACTTTGTTTTTAACTTTATTGAGCAATTCTCGAGATCTAGTCAATAGTGGACAAGCAGATACTTTTATCTTGAGATTGTTTAAAAATAATTTCTACAGAAAAGTTTTTCTCAGTCAAGGAAAAATGTTAGGAACCCAGACAAATGCCACTTCAAAGCTACACGTTCGTTTGAGAACCAGGCTAGCTGTTTAACATACATGTACTTATGTAACATGTTGACTAGTGTCCAACGGACCTTTTGACATTGAATACATATATGTGTGTGATGTGGTGTGGTATTGTTCAAGCAATCCCAAATTACAATGTAAATTTATTCAGCTAGACTTGTGCTTTTTTGGTTGTGTATATGGTCTGCTGTATGTACATGTATTAAAACCCTTTCAGCCCCAAGTAGAAACACCCCCTCATCAGCTGAAAGAGCCACTTTGGTCTGGAGTATTCATTTTGTTGGCAGCAATGTGACTCTTGCATTTTCTAGTTCTTCATTAACCAGCGATGCGCATTTAGTATCAAAGGAGCCTCTGTTGCTACAGGAAATAGTGCCCTCTCTTGGTCCAGTTCGAGGCCCATAGTTCTGTCATAGCCTCAGACTTGACTCAGACTCTTCAAGTTGGACTTAGACTCAAACCAATCCATTCTTTGTGGACCTCAACTAGACTCAGACATTGCTCCAACACATGCCAACAAATTTGGTAAAAAAAATGGTTTGAATAAAACTAACTTGATTAAATCCTAATAGATAAAAAGTTGTGAAATACAAATTTAACAACAAATGTAAGTATTTACCTTGTTCAAAGCACTTGGTACTGGTTCCTCAGAAAGTCTCATCATCACAACATACAACCAGCGAAAAAAGGCTTTAAAATTCTTCAAGCTGGAGTCTATCACCCTACAAAAAGGGAAAATTTTTTCTTTTACTAATTTCATTTGCAAAAAACCACTGAATGACAAAATAGTGGCAACAAGTATCGACATATAATTGAAGGTTTTCCCAACAATTCGGTTTGAATACGTAATTCATAAATACCGCAGATAGTTTCATTCGATAATGCCTGCCGCAATTCGATAATGCACGCTGCGTAAAAACACACTGCACCTGGATACGAAATTAATTCATTCCTATTGGTCAAGAGTCTGTGTGCGCAGCGGCATGCAGAACTCATCATGCCTGCACCATATAAGGAGATCCTTCTGGACTATTTGCACAAGGAATACCATAAAATAGACGAAGGTATTCAGGAATATAAAAGTAAAATTCTTGAACAAAATCCTTGGAAATTTATGTAATATAATTTATGTAATATAATTTATGTAATATAATTTATTTATATAATTTATTTATATAATTTATATTGATTTCTTTTGACTCCGACTAAAAAGGATTTATGAACAGGAATAGAGATGTACTTGGTCTAATGTCTAAAGCCCAGCACAGGAGAGTGACCACTGATAATGCCCTCACCTGTGGCTTGGGCATTAGTTGTGTCCAATACTTGCCAAGCATATGTATTTATTCCCTTATTTATAAAAGTAAACAGTAAAAAAGCAAAATATTACCCTCTCAATGGAGGTTCACATGAGACTTCTTGTCTCTATTAAATTTAATATGGTCAGTCTTCCACAGGCGTTAGCTTATGTGCGATTTCGACGGAATTTTCCATGTTTAAGTATTTAAACACACCACACTTTGTCACGTTTCTTCTTCTGTTTTACTAACAAGAACACAAACAATTAAGTCAATTATATGAGAGTTTTCATACCAATGATTTTTTTTTACATTACTAACCTTTTCAGACTTTACTTTCAAAGGGCTGCAAGGTGGAAACAGATTATTATTACACTGATCCCCTTCTCTACTGAAATTGTCTGCATTTTCAAAGCTTTTAATAGTTCATAGTTGAAGTTGGATCCTCACAATTTGCCAAATGCTTTAAAGTTACAGGGTTGAGTCTCCAGGATAGGCACAAAATGCAAGAACTTGAGTAAATGTAAGTCCACTCTTTAGACAAGAAATGAATATCTGTATGGGCCAAGTATTTATTGGTACTGAAGTTTTAATACAACAGCATGATTGCAAATATGAAGACTTCAGCTACATGTACATGTATTTTACTACCAAACAAACTAAAGTGTGATTTTTAATGGCAACATACAATGATTTAGTACTTTGCCATTTCTACAAATGAAGAATTCAAAACTTTATGAGTAAACACTGTGTACATTTATGGCAGGGAACACATTTTAACAGTTTACGTTTCATAACCCACTATTAAAACCTTCACTGAAGCTCGTATTTAATTAATTTGACAGTGGATAGTGAGACTAATAGATGGAAATAATTTCCCCTGGGCTCGATTTCAAACTGTAAAGTTTACTAATGTGTATAATACTTACTGGAGAAGTTCACTTGCTTTAAGCATGAAAGACCCAACTGTCCCAATGGCATCTGGAGTATAACAAAAGATGCAATGTAGAAATGTGCTATTTGTGCAATCCTAACAAGGTGACCTGAATAACAAAACGGAAGTACTCTACAAAAACTGATATTGCTTAAGGCTGGGGCTCCATTTCATGGCTTTACAAATTAGTACAGGTACTTGGCTAATGATCAACATTCTGTGCTTACAATGCAAGCTCAGAAATGAAGTATTAAATCAGGTGGCATAGAATGCATGTACACATGCATATAAGCCAGAAAATGAAACATCACAAGTGTTGATAAAATTTTGGGATTTTCCTCCCCAAACCATCTTTCATCATCTCAAATATAAATGACAAGCACAAATGAGCACACTTTTTCTTAATTGGTCAACAGATTTTTATCACATACATGTATCTTAGAAGAAAATACTGAAAAACATTAAAACAAATGCATACAGATGAATAAAATGTTTCCCATCACATATGCTGTCACAGTTTCCCACCTTCAATTGCTGTTGGTGACAGCCCAATAATGCCATACTTGTCATACCACAGAGACATTCCCTTCAGGTGGTTTAGATGATACACCAGTGAACGACCAACACTGCCAAAATAAAATATTATTAATTCTGAATAACATAGGGTCAGAAAAAATCTAACCTGACCAAACTAACCAATATCTCAAGAGCAATATATCAGAACACTTTAGGCAATATCTCAGACTCAGTGGCTGCTGGAATATGCTTAAAAACCAACCTACTTTACAAAACAGCTCAAAGTTAAGCAGCTATTTTTGCTAATGGTTGAAATCAACTTGATCATACAGTATTCAAACAAATTGATTCACCCCAAGGAGTTTTTTTAAGGCAAATTTAAAGCACTCCTGACACGTGTACACTTTCCAACTGTCATAAATCTGTCAGCAGAGGTTTTTAACTTCAGTTTACCTGTAAATGTGTTTCAAGACTAGTTTTTGTATGTTTGAGTAGGAGTTCTCCACAGACTGGCCCAATTTCTTCATGCCTTTTTCTGTCAGCTCATGTAGCAAGAAAGCTTGTAATTCAGGACTAGCACGCCCCCATAGAAGCAACTGAAGCAACTCATCACGGATGCTACCAGCAGCCTTCTTTTGCTGATGCATATTGCAAAAAGGGAAAATAAAATGCAATTTAAGTTACATGTATCTCTTCCTGGAAGTTATCATGCTGATGAGAAATAGCAAAAGGTTTACAATCTGCAATTAAATGTAACAGTACGGGTACTATTTTGGTGGTGGGGGAACAACTTAAATATTGCTAGAGATTTAAACTGGAAGGAATGAACTACAGTAAAATGTAATGTACACTAAAATATTCTCACAATGTGCTGTTTGAAATGCCCTGACATGTGCAAATAAATTTTTTTCTGTTTTCAGTCAAAAGTCAGAAATCTACACATCCATGGAGGATTCTCGTGCTTGCGTTATTTCTCCGTGGATGTGTAGCGAATTGAGCAGCAGAACAAAATGCACATATACAATGGATCACACATGTATGGCACAGAGTACAATTCAACATTTATGTTTTTATTTGAATGAGATCCAAATCTGAATGTTCACGTGATGATCGTGTGTCTGTCAAACATAAACAGTTGGGGCAAAAACTATACATACACTTGGTAGAAAACAGTTTTCCTCAATTTTTCACTGTTTGAAATAGTTTGGCCAACATTTTCTTTATGATGTCAGACAAACTGTACCTCAACTTCATGTTCATAGTGTGTACTTCAATTGAAAATACTCAGAGACATTTATTAGGGTTTGAAATATTAATATTTCTAAAAGTAATTTTGTCAAAGTTTGCATTTAACCCTTAATTTATTGGCATTCAAAACACATCAGAATATGGTCCACTGCGACTATGAGATGTGACAAAAAACACAGAAAATGGCACTAAATATCAGGGTTGGAGAATGTCAAATTTGATGGCGCACTATTGTGAAACACTTAAGGGCAGGTAGTACATACAGAATACAAGTGCCTCTTCAACCAATAATGTGTTGTGAATTCCTTAAAGAGCACCTCTAAGGAAAACATGTTTTCTCTGATTTTATCTGTTCAAATAAATATGGAAGCATCAGTAGTAGGCAAAGGAGAGTTCCAGAGCAGCTTTACCCTCCTATACCAACCCAACCCCCCTCAACCGGGACTTCCCCCTACTTCTGGATCCATTCCCATCTCCCCGGGGCTCTTCTCAACCCCCAGGATTTCTCCCAACCCCAAGGTAAAGATTGCCAGACAACGAGATTTCACAAAACGGCCTAGATTTTCCTCCTCGACTGAAAATTCTGAAAAAAATTTCCTAAGACTCCTCTAGAAGTAAAATGGATCTAACTTTTGCCAGTTGGTTTGAATACGCTAAATTAGTCACAGCTCACGCCGCGTGGTTAACTCTAAACATTTGTGAAATGAAACATGATATAATCGAGCAAGCGAAACTGGACGTACAGAGTCAAAGGCATCACATTTGCTTGGTGAGAAAAACCAAAGAAGGAAATAAAGTTTATAAACCGGATCAAATATTTATTCCCAGTGATTTGATTACTGATTAAAATTTTGAAAAATATTAAATTTCGTTAAATGGAAACAGACATGTTAACATCAATTATTTCTTTTGTATAGACACTATTAAATCTGTTAATGTGGTAGATGCGGTCGACTGTACTCATTGTTTAAAATCTGATGGCATCGACTGCAACAAATGTCACGACTGCCATAAACGTCACAACTATAGGAAATGTACCCAGTGTTCGACTAGCGACAAATGCGGCTAATGTATACATTGTGTATTTTGTTATGATTCTTATAACTGTGAAGATTCTAATGCCTTGGAAAGCTGTGAAGCTTGTTTTAATTGCAGCAATTGCAGAGAATGTTTCGGCTGCGTTGATTGTGTTTGCTGCGTTAATTGCATTGAATTAGATAGAATGGATCATGTGGTGCTTTATCGATGGCCGGCACAAAACAATCAGGCGCAAACAAGAAGACGATTTACCGCCTAATGCTGAATTTCAGCTGGATGCTAATTTACATGTATATGATCTAGGTTTAATAATTGAATATGACGTTGACATAGAAGATTTAAATAGAGTAGAGACTCAACGTGAAAATTTAATAGACATGAACGATTAACCTCCCATAAAAAATGAAAAAATTTCCAACTAAAATACAAAACCAGAGCCATGTCAAACCAAATTTATATTATAACCGATGACTACAAACGTCTCAATGCCCCCAACATAGACACAAACGTTGTATATGGACCTTTGACCCTGACAGATTTGTGATAGCAGACCCCGTAGTTAAAAAGAGTGACAACATAACACAACATCATTCACCCATTTTCTATAATCATGACGGTCAAGAAAAACGTCTGTTGATTATGCTTCCAAAAACACTTTGCTACAGTGTCAATCATGTCTATAAATTTGGTGTCAAAGAAAAAAATCCCGAAAATATCATTGGACAACAAATCTGCTATCAACTTCAAGATCATACGGTAGCTATACTCCATCACATCAACTTTACAAGCGAGGAGAACTCGTAAACAACAAAGACACTGGAATTTTAATTGAGCTAGACATTTTTTAAAACGGTCTTTAATATAAAAGAGATGACAACAAACATTCAGTCGAATATGTACCTAGACTTGAGTGGGTATCCAAAGTCAAACGGAGCTACACAAGCAGAAGCAGCAAACGCAACTGAAGTCTACAGGTTTCAAAAGATCGAAGGCATCCGCGGACAAATCTTACGAGAGCGTGACGCCAGAGAAACATCTTCCAAAAGATCAAACAGCAATTAACTGCACTAAATTACGTAGAATACGGAGTTGAAGCATTGGGCGCCACATCAGCGCTATAGGCATTCCCGTGCTACTGGGATCTATCACTGCACCCCTCAGGCTAGTGATGGAAGGCATAGTCATCAGTGTATTTGGTGCTTACGTGTTGTTGAAATACACCAGTCGCAGGTTGACTCATAAAACTAAAACGCACGATAAAATCCGCATGCTTGCCAATGCCAAGCTAAACACTATAGACGAGTATGTCTCACACACGATCGAAGACGGTGATGTGTCTCAAGAAGAAGTTTTGATTTTGTCTGAACTTAGGAAATTTAACAAGTTGAAAGAAAAGATTTGCTCAAACACAACAATCAAGTTACAACAAAATAAAACGACAAGCAAAGAAGAGTTTGACTGCCAAGAGCAAGCCAAAGCTGAGACAAAGGGCCGCAGTTTTTAAAAAAGACCTTAAGAAAAAACTTGGTGAATAACTTTGTCAAAGTCCGTCAAGTACCAGGAATCACCACCTGCTTACCAAAATATTATGCAAACTGTAAAAAAAAACCCGCGCCTGCTTTTTAAAACAGGTTTATTATAAAACAGATGGGAGCCAACTTAAGTCAATTATCGATAGTGGTCAATGAAGATTATCACTTTTCTGCTGTATTTCCCAATTTAACCGCAGCGTACGAGTTGCCAAAAGTTAAAACAGACTAAGCGGTCAATAGGTGGACAACTGACCCCATGTCATTTTATCAAAACCAGTTTAATTTCGCGGTCTATTGTGCTACAACAGCTTGTGGGGTTGGTTTCGATTTACTGTCTAACCAGAATCCATATGTGTCTGCGTTGTTTAATTTTCATGTGTACTACACAGGAAAAAATCTTTTACGAGTGCGTGATGCCTATCCCACGTGACGAGATATTTGATGCGTTGCACAACAATTATGACCACCAGAAATTTACAGACCCTCCCAGTTGTTTAATGTCGACCAAAATAAATTATTTAAACAAACGAGTCATACCATATCAAATGGGCTCAGTACAGCTTATTATTACGACAATGGCTATATACCAGTCCCTGGCGAAAACTACGACGCACACGATTCACATGCCACCGACAGCAAATATGCAGGCTCTACCTACATGGGCTTCGGGTGGGCTAAACCGTCTAGGCTTGGGTCACGTGAGCACGTACACGGTAACTTGGATTACACAGTCTGTCTGATGCAGTTAAATTGGCCTGGTGGGACTTTATCCTCAAAAAGAGTAAACTTACAGACGTAGGCATTACAGAAGTAAACAAATCGATTAGAGCTCACGTTTATGCATTACTTGGCGCACAGGCATAAACAAAAACGAGCGTAATGGCACATGGCACCGGACTAGACGTTCAACAGCAATCTATTACCATAGTGAAATCTTTGATAAACTCGGAGCCTGACCTCGAACAGTCAATTGACTAATTCCAGGATTCGTTGCAGTATGCAAAAAGGCCTTTAAATTTCGTAGTGACACCCGATTTATACTTAGTGCTGTCGGACATGGATTTACGCATTGGAACATTTGAAGGATACAACAACAACCTTCAAATAGCGACAGCCGGCATGCAGACGGGTTATGTTCCAAATTTAAATTCTAGCGCAGTGCCAGAGACATTAAATTTTGATGAAGTTACAGAACCCGAAATTTTGCCAGATCCAGAACCTATTCCAAATATAAAGCCTGTATTACCACCTCAGGAGAAAAAAAGTTAGATGTTCATAATGAAGAGAAATTATCTTTAACTGTAGGAGCTATTGCAGTAGCCGGAATTGGCGTTATGTTGTACAATGTATTAACTTAAAATATTAACTTAGGCCTCAACCAAAAAGTAAAAGGCATTAAAAAATTACCTTCCTCAATTTCGAGAAAGGGAATTATTTTTTGCCCTAAATTAATCCGTTAAACCGACTTACATCTTCTGAACACAAGTCAATATCAAAAAGCCCAAGCCCACAAACAACGCCCAAATGTGTTCAGCTATCCAACCAACTGTCTTGCTCGTCAAGTTTAATATCCAAGAAAGAATGCTACCAATTATACCGGGCAATGCTGCAAGCACTTTCAAGCCTAGTTCTTTCAATGCGTTTGCCAAATTTTGCAGTTGCCATTTGATCCAATTTGTTACGCCTGGTTTTGACGGTGGTTCTGATTTTGGCGCTGGTGTAGGTTTTGGCCCCGGTTCAGGTTCTGGTGCAGGCGTACCAGCAGCTCTCACAGCAGCCATCACGCTTGAAACTATTGTAATGATAGCTAAACTAAAAGC